TTACAGCTGGGTAAGTCGGCTGCGATACGTCGAATTCAGCTACGCTATTCGCGTAGCTGAATTTGCGTATCTTAAATCGACCCCCCCTGTAGTGAAGACCTGCCCCTAGATGATTCTAAAAAATTAGAAGCCTGTTTGTCTAAGATATTTATAATGGCTTGTTTTAGCAATCCATAAATCACTAGCCCACAAAAGCCATCTGAATGTTCCTAACCCGGTCAGAGAAATAAACATCCTGATTTAGGATATCCCAGCCGTTAGGACCAGTTGCATCACTCTGTGGTTGCATCACCATAATCACATGCTATAGCTGCTCTTACCGCTACTCAGAGGGCATCGATCTAAAATGCATTTCCTGATAAACATTTTTGTTCACCCATATATATCCGCTGGTTTGTTATTGTGGGACAACTTGCAAGTTATGGGTTATGCGGGAGTTTGAGGGAAAAGTGCTGAGATATTTCTGCTAAAGAAATACACACAAAATTACATGGACTTCAAGTTTTAGTTTCTTTTTTACATGGACTTTAAAGAAAGGGCTGATCAAATTATTGATCTATCAGCATCAGATAGAATGTTTTGCTGAAAGTCTGACAGCGGCATCATTTACAAAATGCATTCTTGCGACATATAATAATTAAGAGACAAATTCTGGAACACCAGTGAAACCGCTACTATCTGGCATTTCCTCATTTGCTTGGCTAGAATTTTACAAATATCCAAATTCACAATGGTTTAATTTGGGTTCAGCAGTCCCGTGATGAAATGGATATTCTTGACTTAATTATAAAGAATAGAACACCTGTGTGTGTGTTCAAGGCAGGAAAGGCTGCAGACCAGAGAAACTGAGCATGTTGTGAAGAATTGTGTCACTTAGGATACTACAAAAAATTACAGAAACTGACCCAACCAAAACCCCTTGCCCAATAGAATCACATAATGCAGAACATTTGAGAGGGATGTTAGGAAGATTTGAAATTCAGGGGCCAATACTTTGACTGGTTTGTAAGCGCATGTTGGTCAGACAGCTTTGTTATTTGAGCATATTGCCCATCACAATCCCTGCACTCCACTTCCTTTCAGTACAGATTAAAGGCTTGGTTTTATTTACTCTCCAGTAGAGAGTATGGCTGAGCTGGTGCACACAACAGCTCCTCAGTTCCCTTTTGAGTCTGAACACAGAAGAATAGAGATTCATGGCTCCCCACCCCCTGCCAGAGTAAATTGACCTCTCAAATGCATCACTTCACCTAGTGGTATGAGGATAATGGAGAGCTGTGTACAGAAAGAAAGGAGGAGGCTTTCTGATGGGACAAGGGCCTGGGGCTTTTCTTTTGGGGGCATTCAAGTGTGTTAGGCCAAAATAGAAAACAGGTGAAAGAGGCCTACTCCCTGTCATGCTTCTGTGGACTCATTCTCTCATACAGCACGACTGTTTGATCTTAAACCTTGGGAGGGTGAATCCCCTCTCTTGTTGTTTATAGTTGCTTTCTGTGAGTAGATGGATCTGGTATATATAACCAGGGCTCTTACTCTAGAGGGGGCTTGGACTATGTGTGCCCAGAACAGAAACAAAGTAGTTAGTAATGACAACTTCACCTAGCTCTAAATAGGGGAGAGGCTCGCTATCCCGAATATCCATGAGATCCTGTGGCTGCGGCCCTCTCTCCTCTCCCCCTTCGTCTGCTACTTTCGCACGCACTATCACATCTAGAATGAGTGTGTAGGCTCCTCGGGGCACAGGCCTTCTCTTTCTCTTTGGAGTGAAGAGCGTCTGACACGCTTTTGGATGTTGCATAAACAAACAATATAACTATCTCATATGCATGATACATGAACAGCTGGGTGGTAGTGGTGTTGATTTCTGGTGGTTATCACTGTTGTGAAAGGAGTTTTTGAAGGCCTCATCACATGTCTGGGCATGTTTGTGAGCACAGTTGTGTTTTCACACATACATTTTTTTTTTGTTCCATTTCTCTTTTGCCGAGATTTATTAGCACGTGATTTCTCTCTGACAGTAGAGCCGTGTCCATTTGCTCATTGATGTCCGTGCAAAGGCTCCCATTGACTTCAGACTTTGGATCAGGTCCTGAGTCATTTTCCTAAAAGAAAACTTCAGTGTAATATAAAAAATGTTCTTAGCACGCCATCAAATTACAAAGAAGAGTAAGGACTGATTCAGGAAATGACTTAAGCATGTGCTTGGCTTCAGTGGTACTTAAACAGTGACTGCTTTCCTGAATGGCAGCCTAAATCACTGTTGTTATTTTTTGTAATTTTCATAAACAATACAAATTACAAAAAGGAAAATGACTTACAGCTTGTCTATGTTACCTAACGCTGCACATTTCACCAGCTATCCAGTAAAAGTATGCAATTGTGCAACTTTACAACTTGTCAAAGGTTCAAGACCAGGCAGTACAAAATCAGACAATATTACACAGATATAACATGTTCGGGTGGGGGTAACAATGACATAAACTTACACAAATAGGAAAAAGAGGGAAGGAGAAGGCTGGGGTGGAGGGTGGGAAGAGGGAGGGGAAAAAAGCAGAGAGGTGAAATTGAATGGAAGTCTGGCATTATTTGAGCTATCTCAGCATTCTTATGTCAAATGTACCATGAAACCTATCATATATCAGATACCTATCATATATCATATACTTGCTCTCTACGTGGATAAGCTAATCTTTCTTTAGCTGCAAACGCAGACAGGTCCGAATACTACTGCTCTATTCTGGGCATAAGCCTACTCCTCCATTTTTGTCAAATCACGCACTTGGTAATCATTGCGGCCCTCAAGAACCAAAGTCTTTGTGGTGGAGTGAAACCCAGCATGGTCGGTCCATAACCTACGATATAATTTTCAGATGAGGATTGGTTGCTGAAGCCAAGGGCTGTTTTCACTCTTGTGTCCACCTCTTTCCACAGCTGTCTGGCTGGGAAAGGGGTCCCATAGTATATGCATCAGGGTTCCCTTTTCTTTACTGCCGCACCAATGAACCTAAATTGCTGTTAGGAAAAAGAATAATTAAAACTCAGATAGGGAGTTGCCATTTTGACAATGTGATATAGATTAGGACACAGAAAATACAGCGTATTATTGAAATGTCTGAGAACCTGAGATTTTTAACACCTAAGGTAAGTGCTACTGTTTTAAAAACATAGATGGCTGATAATGAAATAAAACTTAAGAACCTTGGTATGGCTTTTGATCACTCCGTTTCCATGGAAAATCGTGTGTCCGACAGAGTACATCACAAATGCGGTGTCTTGTTTTATTCCAGATGAGCACTTTGCGCAGGCTGTGGCCTTACGTATCCCAGTCTGACCTTGCAACAGCAACTCACGCTTTAGTGATCATAGGCTTGATTATAGTCACTCCCGATCTAGCAGGGCAGCTTGCAACTTGGTCAGAACACATCCTCGTGTTTGTTCACTCGTTAGGCCCGCCTTGCCCGCTTGCCGCACTGTTTGGTTCCTAAAGTCCTTTTGGTGACTTCTCTTCAGACCCCAGCCTGTCAAGTATCGGAGCTCAGACCACACCATCCTTTACAGATATCACCATTTCTCCCCAGCTGGGAGGTAAACTGCTATAGTGAGCCTGGGGGTGTGGGACTTTGCTGCTCCTGGACATCTGTCTCAGTACCCCATCCCCATTTTGGGGGATATACCTTAAACCTCATTTTTCCATACATGATTTTTAATCTGACCCTCTTGGTTGGTTTTATTCCTATGCATTTAGGAGGGTGTTTTTGATTGGCATACTTTTTTTAACTGCTTGTGACAATTTTAACACCAAGTGCTTCTGCAGGAGGAAGGGAGTTCGCTACAAATTATAATTTTATTTAATAGCAGGCGGCAAATGACAGAACAGGATAGAGCTTTGAAAGTCTGTGCTGTACTTCCTGTGTCTCGGTCTCCTTCCCAGAATCTCTCTCTGAGGTATGAAAACAAACCTGAAGTCACAATCCGTCTGCATGCAGGAAGCAAGGTCCCGGGGAGGAATTTCTTTTCCCAGGCTGGTCAGCGTTTATTATAATAGACTGTCATAATTAATTCATTATGATGTCAGTCCACAGGCAAAGCAACATACACATCTGGCTGAAAATGGAGTGGACTTATAAATCACTGGCAGAATTATGCCAAAGCCAGCTAAAGTTTAGTGGATTTTACTGAAGTTATAGGTGAATATCTGTCTCTAATTGCTTATTTTAAAGGAAGTGAGAGATTGAATTCTGGCCAGGCCAGGGCAGTGTCTGACCCAAGTCCAGAGCTATTTTTAATTCACCACTGTTGGGTGCCTCTTAATTTAATAATCACAACAAAAGGTTTATGATATGATATTTAGGGCCTTTCTGTTTGCAGAGCACTTTGGTTATGTGCACTGAAGTAAATGCTGTTGCTCCATGTTGATACCAGTGTAACTTTATATCTCTGAATGACCTCATCTGTTATGAGGTCAGAGGGCAGTACCTGTTCACACACGTGCTGGTGCTTGAAGTGGTTTCCATCATATACAGGGTTTACAGTTTGGTTCAATGGCTCTCTGTACCCGCACTGTACAAACTGTTCCAGCGTCCCTGCCTGTGTGCCAATGTGCAGGAACACTTGGGAACAGTTTGGGATAGGAAGTGAAGGGTACTTTATCCAGTTGAATCTACAGGAGAAATGTAAGGAGGACAGAATCATTTATTTACCACAGTGGCATATTGGTGGTGATTAGCAGCAGGGAACTTCAGAATGACCCAATGAGAACATTCTGGCACCAGCCAGATCACCGGTATTGACACTTCTCCAATAATTTTGGTGTATGATGTACTTTTTCAAGAGCTCATAGAAGAGAAATGGAAACCAGTTGCTCTGACAGATCTTCTGCTCCTAGAAGTGCGGCTATGGTGGATTGTCGAGGGGCATTTTTCTTTGGGAGGGGTGAGGATGGTTACTGCTATTCTTGTTTGCTTTGCTCCAAAGTTTCTAATTTTTTTTCTTAACTGCAGGTCATTTCATGGGCAACAACACAGTGATTGATGTTTTGGGAAGAGAAGGGTATGAGGTAGAACACACTCCTGCTGGACAACCCATCAACAAGTAATATATTCATGTTTTTATCATATTTGAATAGCCATTGAGATAGATAAGCTGTAGACGACCATAGAGATACTGTGGAAATAGACAGACATCATTACACATAGACTGCTCTTCTTTGCTATTTCCCAGTACAATTCCTTTGCTCTGTTTATCTTCTGGGAGCTCATTTGGAAATGTGGTCTGCATGACACTTGCCAGGTTGCTTTTTCACATTGACTTGGACATGTTTTTCCCATCACTTCTAAAGCCTTGAGTTAGCAGGTAGTTATGAACGGCAAGTTAAATCTGTTTGGGCGGGCAAGCTGGCTTGTCATAGTGCAGCACAAAAAGGGAAGGGCTGCTGGTTTTTCTGTTTTATAGTCCCTTTTCCCCACCCCAACCCCAGCTTGGCACATCTTCCCCCACGTCCTGTGCTCCTGGGACCTTTCTCCCATTCCTTCCCTCTCTTGTGTGTTTAACCAGTCCCTCCCCGTGCCTCTTTTCCCCTTGTACACAAGTACAGTGACATATCACTTATCCTGAAAAGTCTTCCCTTGGTCTCACCTGTCACCCCATCCCCTGTACTCTCTCTAAACCCCCTGAGTCTGCTCTGCCTTGACTCCTTGTGCAACGCTCTCCTTGACCTTTCCAATCTGACTTCCAGCCTCTCCACTCTGGAGCTGGCCTCACCAGCATCCTCCATGACCCTCTTTGTACTAAGCTGTACTCTTGTACTGCTGCCACCGCTACCATTGATCACTCTCTCTTCCTCCATTTTATCCTTCTTTTTAGACGAGGACACTTTTCTATTCTGCTTCTCCTTGCTGAGCACTCTTTCCTCATCCTGCCTTCACTCCTACCTATGGATAGCCTTCAAGGTTTTCTCCTCAACTCACCTTGGTCTCCCTCTGTGCTCTCTCTCAGGTGTTCTGCCATGGTTTCAGTTACCAGAGAACTGCTCCATCTCCCCCTCAGTCTAGCCTTGCATCTCCCTCTGTCTCAGCCATCTCCTTCTGGACTTCCTGCCAATATTTCAGACTCCAAATCTCTGATCTCCCTGCTCTGCCTCCTTTCTCCATCACAACTGATCATTTCATTATTCTCCCTGCTTGGCTTGCCATCTTGGCCCCCATCTTCCATTGCTCTCTCCCCTGCTGCACATATGGGTACTCGCTAAATCCCATGTTCTGGCCTAGTATCTAAAATAAGCCCGTTCCCTTGTATTCTCACTGCTAAAACCTTTGTTCGCATTTTGGTCATCTTTCACCTTGACTACTGTAATATTTCGCTTTATATCTCCTTCCCCCACATACCTCTTCCTTGATTATTGTCATAGTTCCTTCTCTGAGCACCACAGTCACCATACCTCCTTCCCAAACACCTCTACTAAAGGGGCTCGCTGGGGCTGGGACCATCTTTTACTTGTGGTCTAATGTAGGAACTCCTAGGCACCACGGTACGACAAATAATATTAATGAAGTCACTTCCTTTCCTCCTGACCACGTCACCTTCCTCCTTGAATCCTTTCACTGGTGTCGACTATTACCACAAGGGATGTAAGCTCCTTGTCGGGCTACATTTTAACCTTGGCTTCTCACATGGTGCTGAGGATGCTTGGTCATGGTCTACACTTGCCCTTAAACCAGCCTCAGCATGGGTTTCAGCCTCATGCCTTGCCATAGCCCTATTGTCAGCAGTACTCTGTTCTCTAGAGGTTCTTGTCCTACACTCATCACTGTAGTATCTGAACACCACTGGGTAGCGCCCTGTGTAGGCGAGCCCTCTATGCTCATCCATAATAGCCAATCAGCATCTAATACTTGAATCGCTTCTTTTTTCAAAGAAAAAGTGCATGGTTTAAAATGAGGTTTCTGTTTGAGGAGAGCCTTTTGGCCAATCATTCTTTACAACTGCTGTGGCAACTTCTTACGCTCCAGAAAAAGAGAGCTCATGCCGTCCTAAATCCCACTTCACGTGGCCTCGAGATGGGAATAAAAACAAAGGCTAAAGAAAAGTCACAGCGTAAAATCTTGACCCCATTGAAATCAGTGGCAAAACTCCCCTTGCTTGGAACAGGGCCAGGGTTTTGCCCATAGTATTTTATACATCGAAGGAGGCAAGGGTGGGTGTCAAAGAAACAGGCCCCTAACTCCCACTGACAGTCAGGGAAAGTTCAGTGCCTAATTAACTGCCATTTGTGCCTTCGAAAACCTCCCCCTGAAATCAGAACTTGCTGCATTTTATGATGTACAGTGAGAGAGCTGAGAATGAAGCCATTGGTGGGGCTGTGGCTGAAACCTGCTGAACGAGGAAGGTGATCAGGGAGACAGAGATTAATCCTGTATTCAGAGAAAAAAATGAAGATAAATGGCTCTGTTAAAATGTTCGGAATAGTCATCTCGAACTATTTCAAAGCAGGCTTAAGATGGGAAATGAGTTTAGAACAGAATGAAAAACAAAGGAAGGAAAATCCCTCTTGGGATGATTTTGAGGCTCATGACAGGATAGCTCAGAGGCCTGGTAATGGGATACAGAGGCTTTCACCTCTCGGTCACTGGCTTGAACCTGCTTAGACTCATAGACTTTAAGGTCAGAAGTGACCGTCAGTCTGACCTCCAGCACGCTGCAGGCCACAGAACCTCACCCACCACTCCTGTAATAGACCTCAGGCTTAGTTACTGAAGTCCTCACATCATGATTTAAAGACTTCAAGTTGCAGAGAAGCAACTATTTACACTAGTTTAAACCTGCAAATGATCCGTGCCACATGCTGCAAAGGAAGGTGAAACCCCCCCGGGTCTCTGCCAATTTGAGCTGGGGGGAAATTCCTTCCCGACACCAAATAGACCTTAGACTCTGAGCAAGTGGGCAAGTCCCACCAGGCAGACACCTGTGAAAGAATTCTCTGTAGTTACTCAGAGCCCTCCCCATCTAGTGTCCCATCTCCAGCCATTGGAGATATTTGCTGCGAGCAGTCGCAGATCGGCTACATGCCATTGTAGGCAGTCTCATCATACCGTCCCCTCCATAAAGGTATCAAGCTCAGTCTTGAAGCCAGTGGGGTGGTTTTTTGGGTTTTTTTGCCCCCCACTGCTCCCCTTTGGGAGGCTGTTCCCGAACTTCACTCCTCTGATGGTTAGAAACCTTTGTCTAATTTCAAGGCTAAACTTGTTGATGGACATTTTATTTCCATTTGTTCTTGTGTCCACATTGGTGCTTAACTTAAATAACTTCTCTTTCTCCCTGGTATTTCTCCCTTTGATGTATTTATAGACAGCAATCCTATCTCCCTTCAGCCTTCTATTGGTTAGGCTAAACAAGCCAAGCTCTTTGAGTCTCCTCTCATAAGGTAGGTTTTCCATTTCTCGGATCATCCTAGCAGCCTTTCTCTGCACCTGTTCCAGTTGCAATTCATCTCTCTTTAAACATGGAAGACCAGAACTTCACAGACTATTCCAGATGAGGTCTCACCAGTGCCTTGTATCCTGGTACTAATACTTCCCTGTCTCTACTGGAAATACCTTGCCTGATGCATCCTAGGATTGCATTAGCCTTTTTCATGGCTGCATCATATTGGCGGCTCAGTCATCCTGTGATCAACCAATACAGTCAGGTCTTTCCTCTGCTCTGTCACTTCCAACTGATACATCCCCAGCTTATAGCAAAAATTCTTGTTGTTAGTCCCTAAATGTGCACCTTGCACTGTGCACTATTAAATTTCATCCCATTTCTATTGCTCCAGTTTACAGGGTCATCCATAGCTTCTTGTATGATACAGATGCCTCCCCTCCCACCCCACCCCGGGTTATGCAAACCCGATTTACGCAAATCCACACTTACAGAAAAAATTCTGTAAGCTAGAAATAGGAGGGTTTTTTGGTTTGTTTTGGGGTTTATTTTGTTGTTGTTTTGCATAAGGGTCAGGTATATGTTTCTGACTTACGCAAAATTCGAGTTACGCAAGGTGTTCCGTAACAGAACGCTTGCGTAGGTCGGGGAGCGTCTGTATTCCGGTCCTCCTCCGTATTGGCAATATCTCAGAACTTTGTGTCATCTGCAGATTTTATAAGCACACTCCCACTTTTTGTGCCAAGGGCATTTAATGAAAATGTTAAATAAGATTGGTCCCAAGACCAATCCCTGAGGAACTCCACCAATAATCTCCTTCCAGCCTGACAGTTCACCTTTCAGCATGACCCGTTGTAGTCTCCCCTTCAACCAATTCCTTATCCACCTTTCAGTTCTCTATTAATCCCCATCTTCTCCAATTTAATAATTTCCCATGTGGACCTGTATCAAATGCCTTACTAAAGTCCAGGTAGATTAGATCTACTGCATTTCCTTTGCCTAAAAAAATCAGCTATCTTCTCAAAGATTGGGCTGGCACAATCTACCTTTTGTAAAAGTATGTTGTATTTTATCCCAAGTATCATTAACCTCTACGTCCTTAACTACTTTCTCTTTCAAAATTTGTTCCGAGTCCTTGCATACAATTGAGGTCAAACTAACAGGCCTGTAGGTCGGTAAATGGTCAAAAGTCATTCCCAGATGATGGCAATCTATGACATATGATCTCAGCCCAGCCCCAGTGGACATGTAAGCACATTCCCATGCCCGCTATCCTAGGAGGCTGTCTCACCGTAAAAGACCTGCATGAATATGGGAAGTAAAATGTCCCTTTAGCTTTATGTCCTATCCCTGCAGGTCGGGGAAGTATCTTGGCATCAGTCTGGCACTGTTCATTGGCCCTGAAGTCACTTGTAACATTATTGTAAAATGGGAAGATAAACATAAGAGACGAGGGGAAGAACAGCAAGTGGCTGAAGCAAACGCTTCGGAGTGAAACAGAAAGGAAGCCAATCTGCAGCACAGGGAACAGAGCAGAGTGAAGGGCTGTCAGGTAAGGGGGGGGGGGGAGAGAGGAGGGTGAGGATAAATAGAGCTGCACATAAACAGCCTGCCCTCCAGAGGTGTGATATTGTGTAGTGGCAGCATCCTCAGCTTCCCTCTTAGGTCAACCTGAGGTCCCCTTTGAGCCACCGTCGTGCAAAGGGAACATACAGGGGCCATAGCCCTGACTTGCATGCTCACTCTCTGTGTGCATGCGCACGCTTTTCTGTGAATGGGGAACCAGACAGGAGACCGAGTGAGTTGAGCTCACAGCTCTGGGAGGAACCGGCAGAGCCAGCTGCGGCAAGGGCACCTCTGAGAGGGGCACTCTGTGGGGGCTAGGATGTTGAAAGGGCAGGAGCTTGAGCATGGAGGGGGAGGCAGAGCTCCTGCCCTAGCAAAGGGCGAGGAGGAGAGAGACACTGCTCCAGCCCCACAGCAGAGAGCACTGAGGACAGTTATATATATAGTGCCCTGAATTTAATTAAGCTCCCGGTGTCTCTATTTTGAGCTGTTAAATGTTATTCCTGATTTTAGGCTGAATATGTATTTCATAAAATATTCATCATACAATCACAGCCGTGATGAGTGCGACTCCCGCTCCCCTCTGCAGCTGCCGCGCTCAAGGAGAGTTCTGCCGGGGCGACCTGGCCCCAGGGGAGGGGGATGCGCCATGTCTCCAGGCCTCTGACTATCCCTGGGTCCCTTTGGGTCTGGGATCTGCTGCCATTCAAAGGCCTGAGATCTGCACCTGTAATAACCGGGTCACTCTAAAAATACGAGGATGATGTGTGTGAACAGTGAATAGAACAGGTGCCCTGTGCTATTTGAATAGGCGCCTCCTATACTCACCAAAGGATTGGATTCCGAAATCTCACTGTGATGTGTTTGTGGCAGTGCCCATGAAATGCTAGGTGCTTTCCAAACCCTCACAAAGGGGTGGTCCTTGCTCACAGTTTCAGGACAGATGGGATGACAGAGGTTGGGGGAAGGACAACAAAACAGGTCCACGTAGGCAGCACAGTAGCAGTGGGTCTTTAAGAGGGAATTAAATGTGGAGGAGCTCAGCAAGTTTGTAGCATGCCCAGGACCCAGCGGTGATGCTATAAGAAGCTGAGAGAAGGGCAGGCAAGACTGGGTGGAGGGAACCAGGGCACTGTAGTGCTTGAAAAGGGAAGAATAGCTCAGGATCTGTTTGCATTCCAAACCCAGCCATGTATTAAGTGTCTCTATCTGAGATCTTTCTTCAGAGGGCCTTCTCCTTCTCATTTCTTGGCACTGCCTCTGTCCTCTCAGTCATCCTGGCTCAGAGTTCAGTTCTCAGTTTTCTTCGGGAATTGATTGCAAATTCACTCCTAATTTCGTTCTCCCCTTGCAACGGGGACTCGCATTCCATTCCACGTCCTCTCGCCTTTGATCTGTTTGATTGAAACTTGCTTTAAATTCCATCACAAAGTTCAGGTTCAGTGACCAGACCAGTCTGGAAACTCCAAACTCTCACTGAAATCAGCCCATCTCCTCTCTGGGAGCCTGACTCTGCCGTTGCAGCAGGAGAAGGGAAATGCTCATTGTACTCCCAGGGAATGGTCAGCTGGTGAAAGCAACATTTTTTTGTTCACTCTCTTCCTTTTATATTTAAGAACACAAGAACAGCCATCGTGGGTCAGACCAATGGTCCTTCTAGCCCAGTATCCTGTCTTCTGACAGTGGCCACTGTCAGATGTTTCAGAGGGAGTGAACAAAACAGGGCAATTATTAAGTGATCCATCCCTTCTCCTCTAGTCGCAGCTTCTAGCAGTCAGAGGTTTAGGAACACCCAAAGCATGGGGTTGCATTCCTGACTGTCCTGGCTAATAGCCATTGATGGACTGATCCTCCATGAACTTATCTAGTTCTTTTTTGAACCCAGTTACAGTTTTGGCCTTCACAGCATCCCCTGGCAATGAGTTCCACAGGTTGACTGTGCATTGTGTGACAAAGTACATTCTTATGTTTGCTTTAAACCTGCTGCCTGTTAATTTCATTGGGTGACCTCTGATTCATGTGTTATGTGAAGGGGTAAATAACATTTCCTTAGTCACTTTCTCCACACCATTCATGGTTTTATTGATCTCTATCATATCCTCCTTCAGTTGTCTCTTTTCCAAGAGGAACAGTGCCAGTCTTTTAAATCTCTCCTCCTGTTCTAGACCCCTAATCGTTTTTGTTGCTATTTCTTCTACTTTTTCCAATTCCAATATAGCTTTTTTGAGATGAGGCAACCAAAACTGCATGCAGTGTTCAAGGTGTGGGCGTATCATGGATTTATATAGTGGCATTATATTATCTGTCATATTATCTATCGCTTTCCTAATGGTTCCCAACGTTCTGTTCGCTTTTTTTGACTGCCGCTGCACATTGAGCGGATGTTTTCAGAGAACTATCCACAATGACGCCAAGATCTCTTTCTTGAGTGGTAACAACTAGTGTAGACCCCATCATTGTATATGTATACTTGGGATTGTGTTTTCCAATGTGCATTACTGTGCGGTTATAAATATTGAATTTCATCTGCCATTTCCTTGCCCAGTCACCCAGTTTTGTAACTCTTTGCAGTCTGCTTTGGACTTAAACTATCTTGAATAATTGCAGCCAAAGACAGTCTCCAGCCTGTCTGCTGCTTTTCCTCATGCTATAAGTTAACCTCCAGATCACTCAGGTATTCAGGCTGTGCTCCAGCTTTGAATGGAATGCCGTTAAAAAGATAGATTGTCCAGGTGCTTAAGAGGAATTTGCTTGGGCTCCACTTGAGGGAAAATACCCTTTCTTACAGACACCAAGGATTGGGTTGTAGCTTTAAAGCTACTTCCCTGCATCAGGCATGGTGCAGAGCTGCAGTGCCCCAAAAGGGGCACCAGGCAGATAGTGTCTGCTTGAAGATGAGGCAGATTTCTTCCCTGGTTGCACCAGCTCCTACTTCACCGCCAGCATGGGTGGCGGGTGGAGCCCCCCGGCCCCACCTGTTCTGCCTGAGGTCACCCTCGCCCCCTCGTGGCTGGAGGACCCCAACCCCTCTCCCCCCGCCCAGAGGATCCCTGGGCCGGCCGAAGCCGCCCCAGCAACGCCGCACCTCCCCTCCTGAGACCCCAAGCCGCCCTGTGGGAAAAACTTGTCTTTTCTTGAAGAACCTGAGTCTAGGGAGGAACCCGAGAAGCTGAGTAGCACATACTGCCTCCTCAGCCGCCCCGGAACCTGCATGGGGCATAATGATAAGCAAAAACTTCCCGTGCAGACCGCACAACCAGTGCCCAGCGGCTGCAGTACACCGGGGAGGCTTAGCTTGCCCTGGCCTATTATAGCCACCGCCTATGGCAGCCAGGTTCAGAGGAAGAGCAGCAGGCCCATAACTGCTTTTTAGAGGCGGGAGTGGTCCCTGTGCTCCCCAGAGCCAGCCTTGTGGGGGAAAGAACCTTCCTTGCCCCAGCACATGGCCTACCTGCAAGTGTCTCCTCTCTGCAGCATGCTTCAGCTTTGCTATCCTAGGGGCCTCCAGCCTCTAGCGCTGGCCTAGATCCCCCCCTGAATCGATGGGATCTGCTGCCACCAAGCGGCAGGCTGACCTGACCCACATCTCCCATTAAAACTCTCCATCCCATAGGGGCCCCTTACTGTAGTGCCTGAACATCTCACAGGCTTCCATGTATTTCTCATCAGCACACACCTGCGAGGTAGGGCAGGGCAGGTCTCTCTTTTGACAGATGGGGAGCAGAGCAACGAGAGACTAAGTGACTTGCCAAGGTCACCGGGAGAGCAGGGAACTGCATGCTGGTCTTTCAGCTCTCAAGCCTGTGCCCTAACCACTGAACCATCTTTTCTAGCTGCCAGTGAATACTTCAGAACTGGTGTTTAGATTCCCCAGTGGAAACGGCAGCATGGCCGTGAGTGTGGCTTAACCCTGTAACTAAGATTCTATCAGAAGCTGTATCAAACTCTTCATTAAAAGGCCAGTTATAGACCATCTCAAATGCATTCTCTGCTTCTGTTTGTCCCATCTCTGAGGGCCTACATGGCTCCAGGGATTGCTAATGACATATAGAGCCTTTCGTCGCTAGATCGCTTATTTACAAGATGCAGATTTGGAATGGTGAGGGTAATTCAGCTTACCCCAAGGGATGTGGTAAATTGTCCATCCTTTGGAGCCTTTAAACCTAGGCCAGGTCTACACTACGGACCTATATCGGTATGACCACATAGCTTGGGGTGTGAAAAATCTAAAACCAATGCAGTTATACCAACCTAACCCAATGTGTAGACAGCGCTGTGTCGATAGGTGACAGAGCTCCCTCCTCTCGAGGAGGTGGATTAACTACGCCAAGGGTAGAAACTCTCCCATCGGCGTAGGAGCGTTTTCCCTTAAGCACTACAGCAGTGCAGCTGTGCCGCTGCAGTGTTTGAAGTGCCGACCTGCCCCCAGACTGGCTGCCTTTCTAACAGATCATTCCACCTCAAGCTGGGCCGGATGCAGGAATAACAGGGCTGTGCTATGGAGGAGGTCAGACCAGATGAGCATCATGGTCCCTTCTGGCCTTAGAATCTCTTATTTTTTGGCCTGATTCTGAGAAACGGTGAGTATCTGCCAGTCTGACTTCAGCAGGCACTCAGCGCCTCTCAGCAGCGGTGTTTTGGCAATGTCATCAGCCAAGTGCATTATGTTATCCTTGAATGATCTTTTCCTCCTGAGCTCCGCCTGTGCATTGCTCCGTGTCGGAGACACTCTTTCCTTAGGCCCTCTGAACTGAAGAGACTCTGCTTGACCCGACGTGTGACTTGGGGGGGAAACAGAGGATGGGTAGATGATAAGATTTAAACCAGCAGAACTTCCAGGGGGAAATACTTGTTGACGTAGGGGATCAGGAGGCTGCATGGCATCTCGGTTGCCATGGGGCTGGACCAAGACCTCCACTCAAGGGCGTTCCAAACATTCTGGTTTTCTTTCCTCCCAGCGGGAAGAATCAAAAAACCTGGTCAACCTTCTCATCATCCTCACCGGCGTACACCCCCTATGTGATCGCCCAGGAGCTGCACCGCCCGCCGCATCCTCAGAAAGAGGAAGAGGAGCTTCTGCCCCACCTGCTGCTGCCTGAGAGTGTCGACCTGATGGAGAAAGTGGACAGGAAATACAAGAAGAAGAAGAAGAAGCAACAGAAGAAGCAAAGGCTGCGCCAGTTTAACGACCTCTGGGTTCGCATTGAAGAAAGGTACCAACCGGTGGGGGAGGGAGGGCACTCCGCTACATTAAGATTGGCTGTTTATCGCGGCTCATTAACATACCACAAACCCTGTGTTTTAAACTCTGCTCACTTCCTCTGGGGCAAATCCAAAGAGCAGAATTCGGCCTCTTATCTCCTGCAATTCTTATTTATGCATTTAGATTTAAATAATAATAAAAAGGCACCTGTTCATGTCTCTAGTGCCCTAACACACCATTAACAATGCAATTGGTTCTGTCTGCATAATTGGGTTAGTATCAAAAATAAGGTGGGGTTGGGGTGGGGAAGAGGCGACTAAGGTGGTTTTCCCGACCAAGAGAGCTGACCCTCCTAGGACACATATAACCACAAGAGCCATAGCCGCCTTTTGAACTGTGTGTCGTTCCTCAAGCACCTTCCATCTGCCACTGACCCACTGCTAAATGTGCATCTGTAGATTTACTTATTTCCTTCCCATCTGATAAAATGCAGCTCTGATCCTCCATCACCTTGTGCCAACATTTCCCCCTGTGCAATGTGCTCATTCGGACTGGGAGCGTTCCACTTCCACTGTGTGCTGTTTAAATGACTGCCGAAGGGGCAGGGCAATGGAGAATCGGCCCCTACGAATTTTGAACAAGTTTCTCAATTCAGTTCAGTGGGACTCCCTGCATCATTATTCATAATCATTATTTTTCATCAGCCTCAAGGTAGAGAACACTTCAGAGCACCTGCACCGCCTTGATACATTACATCAATATATCCTGGCTTTTCCATCCCTCTGAGTGATATATTATGGGGACAGGTTGGGGGAGAACTGCAATGGCTGTTCTTGTCTGAGTTTAAATGCAGAGATGATCATTCTACTGTTTATTACATATGGTTGCATAGGTTGCTCTAATTTTCGTTTACTGCAGGTAATAAAGTTGATGTTAGTTATAGTTGGTGGTGGTTTTTATTGCTATAGTTGGTATTAGCTTGACCTTCGGCAGACAGTCCTAAAGGATAACGCAGAGCCTTTACCAGTGTAGGCCCTGACCCTTCATACACCCACACACGTTTAACTTGAGGCATGCGCTATTCCTACTGAAGGCAATGGAACTACTCGTGCTAAGCCTACTCCTCTGTGTTTGCAGGATCAGCTGTGGTAAGATGGGAGGAAGTGTCAGTTGAGCATAACCGGGGGTAAGGGCTGTTTCTCCAATTTCCACTTCAGGAATGCGCTAGTCAGACCTCCAGGGAGAAAGTTCTGTTGGTGGCTACTGTCAGCAACACCCTCCTGACTCCAGGTGTATGTGCCTTTAGGGCCTCGGGACTGGCAGAGACCAGATCTCGTTTTTTGCTCCTTTGCAGTTTTCTTTCCACCCATGAAATGCATCACTTGAACCAGAAACAAAGTCTGATTTTTAGTAGTGACCCTAGCAGCAGAGGGAGTAAATGGCTAGAGGATGAGCCTCCCAAACATCTTCTGTACTGGGGGAAAACAAGTGGAGTGATGTTTATTTCTTCTTGGTTATCTGCCCGGTGCCTTCCAGCTAGGGAGAACTGTAGGACGCCACTGTATATGCACCATACTCTCACTAACCTGCCCATCACTGCCCTTCAGGTTCGATTCTTTCCATTGCAGGGGTCTCTGCCCTGTGTTTGAATGTGTGGCAAATTAATACTAACTTTACGCCCTAGATATCCTACATTATCTCTGGGTGATGGACAGTTCCCGAAAAGAGCAAACAAACCCCTTTGCATGCTTCTGTTGTGCTAACTACCCCACCTAGTGGCGCTGTTTCACGTCACTGATGAAATTCAGTCATTCACAGGAGCCCTTCAGACATAAATACTCAGTCCATCTCGGAAGTCACAGCCCTTACTCCTATATATCCATCTCTGTCCGTGGGTAAATCTGTTGTGCTTGGGTCTGGGCCATTCATAACTTAACTCCTGTGAGCACATAAACATGAAAGGCCTAACTCAAGTGATTTCATACAGTCTTGTAGTGGGCTTGGCCTGAATTGCTCGTCTGTGCTCCTGTATGTATCTGCTGTCTGCTTTGTTGCACTGCCAGCTGGCTTCTGTCCAGTTACTGTAGGAGCCACCTGCGGGGGCTTTTGGATATGGAGTGGTAAGTGTTTTCAAAAAGCAGACTAATTGCTTTCAAATTCCCCAAGCATTTTTGCTTAATGCACTTGGCCAGCGTAAAGCAGGAATAGTGCACAGCAGCTGGAGCTCGCTGGTGCAAGTGAAATGAATACGCTTGTACTGTTGGGCAGGTGTGCTTGCTGGAATTTATTTTAGTTTCCACCTAACAATGCTGGGCCAGGGGATTTGAGCTGTGTCCACCTATAGCCTCAGGGTCAAATCTGGCTCCAACCTCTTATCCAGAGAGCAGTGCCCACAGCTCACACTCTTCTTTGGGACAGGCTTTTCATGTGGACCTTTGCTTCTCGGTCTCTAGACCGAGAAGCATTTCTAATAGATGCCTGGATTTTCCTCACTCTCACTGTCCCATGTATGGCCTATGTGCTTTCTCCACCTGCCAGTGGTGCCCTTTCACGTGGAGCATCACTTATATGGAGGCTGCAGAGAGGCTTGGTTCATGCTAACATGCACGTGCAAACCGGGGAGAACCTGGACGGGGTTCAGGCTCAGCTGTTGAAAGCAGATGCATCAACCCTATAAATTGGTGCCACGTGTGCGGCAATAATGCTGGTCGGCAAAGCCTTCTCTGTGGCAAGGCGAGATTTGCTTATCTGCTATGGTTGCTGATCAGCCGAAAGGCTGGCTGCAGGGGCTCGGGAATGTTGCTAATACCTCTCTGCTCCCCTGGGATTGACTGTCCCGTCTGTGAGTGCAGGGGAGTCTAATCAGGTAGATCCCAGCTCAGGGACAGGAGTAACAGCCGTCAGTGGGGCTAGAGAGGTTCAGCGTGGGGAGAGTGAAGGGCTCCCTTTCTTTGTGGATCCAGGGGTCAGGGAGGCCAAACTCACGGCCTCATTCAGGAACCCATAAGATCTGCAGGCAACTCCACAAGTTGCCCGTGGACCCTCCTGTGGGCATTTCTGTGACAATTTGACTCCTGGTCCGTGGTGATCATTGACCCTTGTGACTAACTGCTGACCAAGATTCTTCTCTGTTTGCCTTGCAGTACCACTGACCCACCTCCCCGGATTCGCATCATTAATGGCTACATTACAGTAGAACCTCAGCCACGGGGACACGGGCGATCCAGTCACCTCCACACAGAAACCAGCAGGGCCCACGTGCCTGTTCACTCTCTGCTCATCTTGCTATTGACACGGGCGTTGCAGACATTAACAATGCTGCAGTGAGACTTGGGGTGAAACTGCAGGGTCTTTGGCTAAAAAACTTGTGGGGGGGAAAATAGAAGACCAGAATCTCCAGGTGGGATGCCTGTTCTTTGGAATATCTTTAGACTCCTCCTTTTCCTGAATCTGGACCACTAACACTATTAACTGGCTTGACATGCCTAATACAGGAGAAGATATTTTTAATGAAAGCCATTATTTATTCTTCTCTTGCAGAAGAATTATTGCAAGGTATCCCATAATGCTCTTGGGAGATGTACAATGTCGCTGTAACATAGCTGTTGTTTAGCTGTATGAACCCGACTAAATATATTTTTTTGCCTTCACTGCCTCACGTGGTGCAATACGTTAAACGCTACTAACGCATTGGTGACTTTGGCCAGAAGAGAACGTTTTGGCCACATCAGCACAGCTGAGAGGAAGAGGTTGGTATCTGATGTCTGTGTTGGTATCTGCCACTTCGATTTCTCCTCATTTTGGGCCCCAAATGATACATTTCATTTAGGGGAAAATGTTCAAAAGCACCGACGTGGGTTGGGAGTTTAAAGTCCTGTTGAAAGTTGCTTTTGACAATGTTACTGTTAATCAAGACTGGCCTTCTCTGAGCAGAGAAGCATTGCATGTAAAACGTGTGCTGAGGGAATCCGGGCCCTTAGTGCTTAACAACGTTTCTGAGGGGAGAGACGCTACGCCAAAATCACATTGAGTCAAACCCCTCCATTGGCTGGGCTTTTCTGTAGTGCAGCCCTGTTTCTTCTCCCATTCATCTCATTTTTACTCAGACCTGGTCTACACCTATCTAGGTCACTCGGGGCTGTGAAAAATTCACTCCCCGAGGGGCAGAGTTAAGTCGACATAAGCCCCGGGGTAGACACTGCTAAATTGACATCCTCAGGAGACCCCTTTCCGTCACGCTAGTAAGTGTCTGGGCCACGGGGGCGTAGCTGCAGCACTGCAGCTGTGCCGCTTGTAGTGTAGACGTGGCCCAGAGTGCCCAGAAATACGAGCTATTGGGGTACGTCTACACTGCAGCTTGGAGCCCCAGTAGACACATATGCGCCAGTTCTGCTCTAGCTAGTGCACTAAAAATAGCAGTCTTACCATGGTGACTCAGGCTTGCCATCCGAGTACCAGCCCATCTGAGATCCCAGGTACGTACTCGGGCGGCTGGCACCCAGATGTCTCCCCAAGCTGAAAATGACCCCTTCCAGCTCCTGTGTAGATGTACCATTAGCTGAGGTGGTGTGAAGCGGGTCCAAAGGGCTCCTGGCGCCTCAGAATGCCCCCCGACTGTGCGACAGGGCAAGCCTTTCACTAACCGCTGGCAGCTGGTTGGGGAAATGAACTGAACCAGCTACACTTCCCATTTTCTTTTAACTAAAGCCCCAGCTTCCCCTTTCCTCCTCCTATCTGGTGTGACCTCTTCACAGTCGCCACTGCACAAACCAGTCAGTGCTGGCTTTTCTCCCCGCTCCCCACAGGCTCATACCTGTGCCTCTGCCGCTGTTCAGAGCTGTTCCCCAGCAGCGCTAACAGGAGTGAAAAGGCCACTGGGGAAGTTGGAGTTTGACCCTCCACTGGGTCTCTTATAATCCCTAACAGTCCGTGGCCTGTCAGGCATCAGCGTAGCTGAAGCAATAATCCTGCCAGGGCTACATTCAGCCTTTGTTCATGTAATACTTGCTTTGGGGTTAATGCTTGAGTCCAACCAAGGACAGAATAGGGCCCTTACTGGTTTATTTAACCACATTAATTGTTCATCTATGTAAACTGCATCCTGAGACACAATCTCACCGAAATATAATTGCTTTTCGTGGAGGGTGGCGTACACTCTGTGCATGGGCGAGACCATGGGTCCAACAGAGCTGTCACCTTTGCTCCCAGATTCCAGGGCTAGCAAAGTTTAGCCCTGGAACCAGTTCAGCCAGCCTCAGGAGCCGTCCCAGCAGCCATGGGTAGCCAGAGGTGCTCAGACTCCGGAGTGTGGCTATTTTGTTGGCCTTTGGGGCTTGTGTCCACTTGACAAGACTTTTGGAAGATTGTAGTGGAGCTCGGCGGTAACAGAAAAGTTCCCTGAACCCGCCTAATGGACCTAAGATCTGCCTAAGGGACGTCTCTCCACCTGTCTGTCCAAAGCAACTGGGATAGCTTCGGTTGTCTTGGCTCATTGTCCTGAGGTTCGGTCTGCATCGGGGTGGGGGATCTTCTAGGTTCTGGAGTCCCATCTAGGGCCTCCCTTACCATGTTGGCCAGAATCCCTAGGCTGCTGTCTCCAGAGCCAAGTGTAAGGTTGTATTTGGTATACTTGTACATCTTAGCCTCCTTTTCTTTCACTCTTTTTTCCTTGTGCACTTGCTGACTAGCTGCATTTGGGCTTAATTCTCCCCACCACTCATTTTTTTTTTCGTACAGTGTCCCAGATATTTTACATGAAATCTGGTCTCTTTGAAATCAACGTGACTACTGCCATTGACCTCAGTTGGGCCAGGATTTCACCCTCTATGGGGGAGACTGGTACTTTTCAAAGTAATAAGTGAAAGAAATAGAAATTAAAGCTCATTCATTTGAGAATTCACTGGTAATATAATCCTGTCTGAATTAGACTACAGCCTCGTGGAAGCAGGGGCCTGTCTCTTTGTTTTATTCTGCTGAGTGCCATGTGCTTAAAAAATGATGACACCCCAGATCAATATTCAGTTTGTACCCCAGTATTACAGAGCCCAGTATGCTTGTGTTGCTTGAATAATGAAAAATTACATGATCATGAATGTGATATTTAAAAAAGTAACATTGGTTAAAAAAAAAACCTGGACATCATTCATGGACATCACTTATCTTGAACCTGGTGCATCTTCCAGTCAGTCACTCTTTGTTATTTCATGGGTTTTCTCTCTGCTGCTTGTGGCTTTTCAAGTATTACATCTTACTTTGTTTTCTCATTTATTTCCAGTTCTGTTAACGACTGGGATTTCTTCTGGAGCTTTGTAGGAGGCATTACACAGCACAATGCTCTGTCTTACACATTAATGTTATACTCTTATCTCACACTGCTTCTCTGTAAGCTATGAATACCCCCCCAGAGTAAAAGGGGGATTCATTACTAGTTTACTTTCAACCCCCCTCAGAGCATAATCCTCAAGATAAAATTGCAGAAAGGAGCAAAAAATTGCATGTTCTTCAGCCTGGTTCTCAAAAGCTTATGTGCAAAACCATGCCAGTGTTCATGCTAACAATATGAGCTGGAGTAATGCATGCAGCTGTCTGCCTGCCTCTCTATTCTCCAACACCCCCTCTATGATCTCACTTGTTTTGATTTTCTTAAAGGAGCAGCAGCACAGAAGAAAAAAATAGCCCCACTTTTAGTGCTTTGTTTCTTGGGATTTTTTTTTTTTGTTAAGTTTATTTTTACCATTAATAATGCAAAATTAGACTTCTTCAGATCAGAAAAGTGCAAGGCTCACAGAACGTGAAAGATAAATAGAGATGAAAAAACATAAGCTTTTGTTTCCTTTATTCTTTGTGCTCCGCTTGATAGAACTTGTTCCTTTTGTAGGGTCCACGATGGAACTCTGTAGGAGAGTGTAGCACTTCTGAATTGACGAAGAGGGCCAAGACATTCACAGTGCTCAGTTTCACTTCAAACGCTGGGTTAGTCTTATGACTGGTCCCATTTTCTTCCCTGTTGAGTTTAAGCTGCAATTACTCCACAAGCAAGGTACACATGCTGATAGAGTTCACTGGGTTGTTATAGGTTCTTTTGATCAGCTATTTAAAATACTGTGACATAGAGTGTGTAGAAATCACATTCAAAGCTCCCATTTAGACAGCTGTGGAATGCACTTTAGAAGTTAAATTTCTCCAGTAGTTTGATCTCTGGAAAAAACGGAAGAAAGCCCATAATTTACACTGAATTGATTTTATCAGAATAAAATGTTTAAACCAGCCCAAAGAAACTGTGAACTTGGTATATTCCTGCTGAAATTGGTTATACAGCCAAAAGGGTGTTTGGTTTTGCTTGGTATGGGCCCAATCCTGTAACCCCTTATGTGTACAATCTTGCCCTATGCAACTAGTCCTAATGAAATGAGACTACTCCCATGAAGGAAGGGTTGGAAAGTCAGGCCCTAACTACGGGCAGGTCCACACTTAAAATGCTGCAGCGGTGCAGCTGTGCCACTTAGCAAAGAGGTTACTATGCTGATAGAAGAGCTTCTTCCCTCGATGTAGTTAATCCACCTCCGCGAGAGGTGGTAGTTATATCGACGGGAGAAGCTCTCTCATCAACGTAGCGCTGTCTACACTACGGGGGTTAGGTCAGCATAACTGCGTCGCTCGGGGAGGTGGATTTTTCACCCCCCCGAGTGACGTAGTTATACCGATGTCAGTTTATAGTGTAGATCTGGCCTACGTAATAAAACTCTAGTATCTGAATGTAGTGTGAAAATAAAGTGGGGAGACAGGTGGAATCAGATGGAAAAACGTGCACAGCTCGATACACTTGTGTAAACATCTCCGGCTAGTTCTTCAACAGAGCTCCACACTCAGCTACCATCTAGGCACCTGAATTAAGGGGGAGAATTTCCAAAGAGTCCAGCAGCTGTCATAAATGTCACTGGAGTGCTACCTCACACACATATAAAATGGCCAAAAGTCTGGGCTCCGCAGTGCTCAGAAAATAGCCCCAGAAAATGTAACGTTTCACTGGGGCAATGTCTCCTTGTATTATATAGCTTGTCTTGGTGACTAAGGCCTGGGCTACACTAGCGGGGGAGGTGGGTGTGTTGAACTAAGATACGCTACTTCAAGTTGAAGTATCTTAGTTCAACTTACCTGGCCGTCCTCACGGCGGTGAGTCGACCACCGCGGCTCCCCCATCGACTCCGCTTACTCCTCCTGCCGAGGTGGAGTATGGGCATCGATTCGGGGATCGATTTATCGTGTCTAGACAAGACGTGATAAATTGATCCCCGATACATCAAACACTACCCGCCAATCCGGCGGGTAGTATAGACGTACCCTGAGTTTGTTTACCTGTAGACTGACAATAATTGAACACCCAGAATAATAAAGCCTTAACTTGTATGGCTCCTTTCTAACATCTGGAATAAATAGCTACAGGTGCACTGCCTTTTACTTTCTTTTGTAATTGCTTTCTCTTAGTTTTTAACCAACTTTTACAAGTTTTTATGGCGAAAGAAAAGTAACTTTTCATTTTCTTTTCAATCCGTTCTCTCCCTGAAGAGGTGCTGCTTAGGGCACATT